GCACACACATACAGTGTGATTGAAACTTTGTGGCCCATGTGCAGAAGTCGGTTTTCAGCCTGGGCGAGTCTATTTTTAAGAAGTACTGTTGATATTTGGCTCTGTTGACTAATGAGTTTGCCGACCACTGGCCTAGCCAGAGCATTTCCAAGCCCGACACAAGTAGCAGCCATCTGCAGATCTCTCTGTAGCTCCTGTTGGGTGGCCAGAGGCAGTTGCTGACTTTGTACCTCTCGGGAGGCCCAAGAGCTGGTGCACCCAGTGGACAGCTTCAGACCATACCAGATTACAACTCTATATATCCATGAGCGACACACTCAAAGGGCAGACTCAGTGAGCACCAAAGCCACACTGAAGCAAGTCCTACTCCATAGGGGTGTCTCCTTCACAGGAGCTCTTCCAATGTAACCACAGCTGGTCCTCACAGCCCATTGGCCTGAAGGTCAATTCCTCCCAGTGACACTAACAGTAATCAAGGCTCAACTACAACAAGACTGCACATAGCCCACATAGGGGCATACATATAATGCCTAGCTCAGGTGACTGGGGAAGCTGAGCCATTGGGCCCTAAAGGACACCTATTATACAAGGGCACTCTACCAATTCCAGAAGATTTAGCAGCTCAAAGTGCTATGAATACATAAAACAAACAAAGGGAAGCAGCCAAAATGTGGACACAAAGAAACATGTCACAAATAAAAGAACAGAATAAAACTCCAGAAGAAAAACTAAGTGAAATGAAAGCAAACAAACTACTAGACACAGAGTTCAAAACTATTGTTATAAGAATGCTCATGGATTTTAATGAGAACTTCAAGGGACTTAATGAGACTTTCAAGGATCTCAGTGATAATTTCAAAGACATGAAAAAGGACCAGTCAGAAATTAAGCATACACTAACTAAAATAAATAATTTACAGGGATTTTACATTAGAGTAGAAGATTCTGAGAATCAAATAAACAATTTGGAATATAGGAAAGCAAAAAACACCCAATCAGAAGAAAAATGAATACAAATAGTAGTATATGAAGATAATATAAGGAAACTGGGACAAATTCAAGCATACCAACATTCACATTACGGAGGTGCCAGAAGGAGAAGAGAGACAAGACATTGAAAACCTATTTAAAGAAATAATAACAGAAAACTTCCCCTCCCTGGTGAAAGAAATAGACTTACAAGTCCAGGAAGTGCAGAGAGTCCCAAACAAGAGGAACCCAAGGAGACCCACACCAAGATACATCATAATGAAAATGCCAAGGGTTAAAGACAAAGGGAGAATCCTAAAAGCAGCAAAGGTAGGGCAGTTAGTTACCTACAAGGGAGCACCCATACAACAGTCAGCTGATTTCTCAACAGAAATTTTGTAGGCCAGAAAGGAGTGGCAAAAAATGTTCAAAGTGATGAATAGCAAGGACCTACAACCAAGAGTACTCTACCTAGCAAAGCTATCATTTAGATTTGAAGGTCAGATAAAGAGCTTTCCAGACAAGAAAAAGCTATAGGAGCTCATCACCACCAAACCAGTATTATCTGAAATGTTAAAGGGAATTCTTTACAAGAGGAAGAGGAAGAGGGAAGAGAAGAAGAAGAAGAGATAAAAAATATGAACAAAATGGCAATAAACACATATATATCAACAATTGAATCTAAAAATCAAAACATATGAACAAGGAATCTAATGAACAAAATAAACTGATTAATAAAATAGAACCAGAGGTATGGAAACATGAAAAAGACTGATGAACCTCAGAGGGAAGAGTGGAGGGGTGTGGGAAGATATTAACCAAATAACTTATCCTATCTAATAAAGAGGGAATATGCTAATTGACCCTCAGGCCATCGCAAAGATGGCAGTGCCCACAGCCAATAAGGAGGGAATATGCTAATTGACTGCC